AATGAAAATAAGGTAATTTACGTGAGAAAGCCTAACAATGTTTGCCCCAATGACTGTTATTGCCCCGCAAGTATAATATTTGGGGCCTGTCGCAGTCAACAACCAATTATACGTTTATGTGCATAAATCTAGAGTAAGTAGTTTGTAATTAATGATTTGCTAGACTTCTACAAACATACATATATGTATATGTATGTATATGTATGTATTTGTATGCTTTGCAAATTAAGTCCCATGATGGAGTGAAAATTTTCCAAAATTTAAATATGTGACCCAATCGTCATAATCACGATTGAACGAGATCAACGACTGTCTACCGCTCTGTCTGCCTGTTGGATACCATGCATAAATATAATTCTACATATACATATATGCATATTTGCATGTGTATATGTACATACATATGTATATAGCCACTTCAGAGTCCACTAGAATGTCAGCTTATTATTAAATCCAGTACAGTCGAGCTTCATGTGTGGAGCGCGATTAAGACGAGATTGTTCTATACAGTGTGCAGCAAAATGTGTGTGCGGTCCATACTAGTAACTATGCGCATTGTATACCATATGTATGTATGTATGTATGTAAGTACATAAGATCCAACAAATGCCAGAGCCAACATGACAATGATACATATACAAATTGCACTTGAATACCCGCTCCTTCAGCAGCGCAGCCACACCACTTAGTCAGAAGATAAACAAATCCACAAATGACCACATAGGTATACTCCTATGCACACCATATTTACATAAGTATGTTATTTATATAAATGTATGTACATATGTTTGTATTTAATAGCGCACTTACTAAAACACATACAATTACAATTTGTGTGTATATGCAATGCAGAGCACTCATGATGGAATTGGCCCCGACATCACCCACTCAGTTGACATGGTGGACGCACTTGTTTTTATCGGACAAACTATATAAGGCAAAGTTTGATTTGAAAATTTTATCAGTCAATTTTTGTATTTCTCAGCATTTACAATTGCGCTTAGCAACCAACTAAGATATCCTTACAGAGAGCCTTTTCAAAACAGGAATCAAGCATAATTTTAATAAACAAAATGAAATACATTGTCGCCGTTTTACTCGCCGCATTGGTGGCTATGGTAAGTAATGGAAATAAATAAATGGTTACAATTTTTTTTTTTCATATTTTTTCAAATTAATATGCACTACAATATATTTGTAGGCCGCTGCCGAGGAGTACAAGATACGCAATCAGGATGACTTGTTGAAGGCGCGCAAAGAATGCATGGAAGCGAAGAAGGTGCCCACCGAACATATTGAGAAATTCAAGAAATTCGAATTTCCCGATGATGAGGTGACGCGCTGCTACATTGAGTGCATCTTCAACAAATTCCAACTCTTCAGCCCCACCGAAGGTTTCAAGACACAAAATCTGATTGCACAACTCGGCCACAATAAGGAGAATAAGGATGCCGTTAAGGCTGATATTGAGAAGTGCGCCGATAAGAATGAACAGAAATCGGACTCATGCACATGGGCATATCGTGGATTCAAGTGTTTCATCAGTAAGAATTTACCGCTGGTGCAGGAAAGCCTCAAGAAGAATTAAATGCATTCACAGATGACGAGAAGTGAGCGTGTAGCCGGTGCCGAGCATAACAAGAACCACTAACAACACCACCCGCCACCACATCCACCACTAGCAACAACCTCATAAACAATAACATACATAGATAACTACTGCAATAAGCTTGTGCAATGCTAACCATAGTAGTGAGCAAACAACAACAACAACTGCATCAGAACCATAGTAAAGCCAGGTAAATCACAAGCGCACAGGCACGCCGGCGTCAAATAACTGAAAACAAAAAGTAAACATTCAGGCTCATGCTCATGTATGTATTAAATAATAAAGATAGAGTATAAATTTGCAATAGTATGGTTGAATCATCTTGAAACGTCCTGTTATTTTCGCATTTAACTACTACAATTTTTTTTTTTGTTCACACATCTATGTATTATGTTTCATTCGTTCGATGTTAATTAACTTTCACGAATAAAAATGAAATTAATTACAATGTGCAAAAGGATATTTTATTACAATTAGTATTAGTTCGAAGAATCGGGAAATTTGTTAGGTTAGTTTATGAGCGCCTGTAAACGAATGGTACTTATCCAGAATTTACCCTAACATATCAAATATATCTCCAGCATGCAACCAGTCCCCGCATGGCACCGGCCACCACGTTTCCTGTGCCTAACGTTGGATGACATCGACAACTTATCTAATCCTTACCATCCTAAGGGGTGATTAGGTACCCGCTACAACAATCGACGGGTGTACGTAACCGGAACGCACCCAGCTTTTACACGACCGAGGTCGGTCAATTGGGTAGTATTCCTCCAAATTACGTCAGCTATTATTTTATCGATACGATACGAGAACAGAGGCTCCTTTTAGTCCATTTGGTTTCCAGCACTCTCGCTCTATTCTAAAAGTGTGTAACAAAAAAAATCGTCGGGCACAACACCCTAACAGTTTGTCTCAGTAAGTTATTGCGTTACGATTCTTGTCTTTTACCTGCAACATTATTCATATAACGTATTTTGTGTATTCAATCTTCTCCCGTGTAATCTGATGAAATGATTAATTTAAAGTTCGCTCCATCACTAAATCAACATACTGCTTTTGGCCTATAGATACCTGTAACTATGACCCTGATTTGTGTCTATACAATCCTTCTTTATTCCTCCCCGTATGAAAGGTCGGTTGATATACTTATACCAAGTGACTATTTCGGAGTAGTCTCAGTAGTCTCTAATATAAAAAATTTAACAAAAATATTTACCCATATTGATTATACTCTCGTAACACAAAATCAGCATATTCTCTATTACCTTTTAGGTAGCTGCGTCCATGCCTTGATTTGTAGTTTTTGAAGTTTTCAACCTTGATAAAACTCTGTGCCACTCCACATTTAGTTATTTATTTTTTATTTAATCAGGTTGACCCCGATTTGAGCTGAGCTTCTAGTTGTCATATCGTACAAAAATGTTTAATATCCAACCCTTTTTCGGTCGGTGTATAAATGAAGATTGTCATCCTTGTCCTCGATGAAATTTCCCTGCTGTGTTGGTGCCAAAATTCTACATCCACACCTCCATCTCATGCGCATACAATGGATGAGGTCATCTTAAGACCCATAGGTCATCGAATCATATCCCCCAGGATATCATCCAAACTTATTTAGGTTCACTGCTTTGTGCTGAATACCATTTGGTATTAGCCTTCTCCGACTTTATTTCTGCGAACCACCGTAACTTCGTTTTTTTTAAGAAAACTATAATTGCCAGAAAACTTCAATTATGAAAGATAATCGCAGCTGCCGCCCGAATATTCCAGCAGTCTTTGGTAGTGAGAGCGATGCCTTTGATTCGTGTGATATAAGCATAAGGGTTATCAATTTGGAGATTCTACCATTACTAGGCAAACCGGTAAAACACCAGCCGATAATTTACGCTGAACCCCTTGGTGGACAAGACTAAGATCGGCGTTGTTCAACGTCTACGCAAAATACGAAAATACTGTGCGCTACTTACCAGTAAAAAGGATCAGGGCATAATCAGAAAGACAAAAGCTTCCAAATCCATCTGCACAAACGGAATAAATATGTTGATGTTAAAACATTTCGGCTTGACGGGTGTAAGCTACCACACCAAGGTACTCAATCTCCCACTAACCAAACTTTAACTAATTAATGTGAAAAAAAAAATCGGAAGATCGGTTTCACTACTGATATCTTAGAAGCCGCTCAACATACATTAGTCACAATTCTACTTTTCACAGAAATTATCCATGCAATCATGTAGTTGCACATACATTTAACCGACCAAATATCGAAACCCCCTAACCCTATGGTCCGACCGCTTCGAAATAGCAGGATTCCTGGCTCTACCGTTAGATGACTTCGATGAACCTTACCACCCAAATGAGGGACTAGATAACTGCTATAACAACAACAAATTGTATACTTGTACAGGAAATCGAGTAAGTAGCATTTTTGTAGTCAAGCAGCCAGACATGTCAGAATAAATACTAGAGTTGCTTGATTACCACATTTTATATTTTTAACCCACCGAATATCATTCCACCATCGCGTGAAATTTCTTCTTTAGCTTTCGTCATTGACCTACAATCCGGAATGTGCATTTAATCCACATTGTTGTCCTTAATATATTTAACATTACATTCGAATTCGTATTTTGAATAAATAAATAAATAAGTATATCAAATAAAAACGCATTCAAATAGTTTATATTAGTTTTATTTTCATAAATTTTTTCATCTAAATTAAATTTTATTATAATATTTTTTTTTTTTAATTTTCGTGCGTTATTATTTCCTTCATTTTTAACGCTTTATTATTTTCGTCCGCATTCTTTACTGCCAGCCATTCTTATTTTTTTGATTCTCTAATTTTTTTGGATAATGTTGAAGTTTTTTAGGTGTTTTCTTCTTTTTTACCTTATCTTGCTTTGTTCATCTTATATGCTTTTTGTGGCCTTTTTATATTTTAATTTTTTCATATCTTTTCCGATAAGGACTTTAGTTTTCATCTTTTCGTCTTTTGTTTGTTTTTTCTTTTATTGTTTATCTGCTTCTTTTATATACTATATGTATTATAATATTTTCTTTATTTTGCCATATTTCATTTCCTTTTTTTTTCTTTGAAAGCTTCTTGAATGTTTAATAGCTTGGAAAATAAAACTGTTTATAAACAGGTATGTTGGTGTGTTGCAGTTCAAAAAACATTATAACCAGTTAACCATTATAACGGAAATCCATCTTTTACTTTTTTTTATATATTTCTCGTTGTATTTTTGCCTTCATTATTTAACAGGATCTTCAATATTTTATTTTTATTCGTTTTTCGCTTTAAGCATTTTGGTCCTTCTTTTTAATATTTTATTTTTTATTTTTTTTCCTTTCTGCTTTCACTTTTTTATTCTGATGCTTATTCTTTAAATATTTATGACATCATTTTTTTAGAAGTTTGGTAACGAACGGCTTTTATATATAATGTTTTTTGAAATCATTTTATATATTGTAAAAAAAAATCTGAAATCAAATTAGTTGGATTATAAAAAGTGTTTAAAATGATAGGGGTTATCACAGGATTTAACAGTTGGTAAGTAATTTTTGCGTTTTTAAAATGATGTTTGAATGAAATGAAGAAAAATTTTACTTTCTTGACTAAACACATCTATGGCCTCAAAAATAGATTAACGAATTTAGTATTATACTATTTATTATAGTACTTGCGAAAAGTTTCTATGCTCTCGCCCTTCTTTTTCGGTTCACCCAATATACTCATTAAATCATTATCATAAAAAAATAAAATAAAAAAATATCTCAAATGTAATTTAAAAGTTATTACAACCTAAAAAAAATCGATTAAAGAAATTATAAAATTCGTCCAATAAACGTCTTTATGCACGAATTATTAGCTTAAAGAACACTTATTTGAATCATTTTCTATTAAAAAAAAAATCCCTTGAAAAGTATATGCTATAATATTGGCATAGAAAATGTGTCTAATTTGTTGAAATGAAAATTAATTTGTAAATAATGAAACATAAAGCCAATGAGACTTAGCTGTGATAAGGAAAACAAAACTGACTTACCTTAAAAGTAAGAGTAAAACATTAATCAGTATGGTGCATAGTAATTTGCACGTCCGCGATAACCCCTTCTGAAACGAAAGCATAGTTCGAGTTAATTCAATGTTTCGAGATAAACAGATCTATAACCGTATACTTACATTGGACGACGTGAACCACGGAAGGATGTGTGACAACAAGCGCGTGATATGCGAGCACCTCGGCCACGGAAACTTCCGCGTGCAAAACGATTTGTCGTAGACAATCCTGGGCGATTAGTGCGCTTTGACATGACCTAAAATATATAAGTATATTCATATAATTTTCGTACCAATACTTATATTTCATAATAGACATTTGCATTTGTGTACAAACCTTAATTTGGCGACCTCTAAAAAGAGTCTCGTTCATAGCCAATGCTGTCTCAACAAATTCCTTTGAACCAAACTCAATATAAGCAAACCCTTTGGGGTGACCATCAGCTTTATTGCATAGTATAGTCACACGGTTTATGGTTCCACAACCATGAAAATGTGATTCTAACTCCTCAGCGGAAGCGCCATAGTCAACATTACCCACGTATACTGAACGTGTATCAATTTCTTGTTTTTCTTCTAAAGATAATGGCACTGTGGCCAATCCTGTTGTAGAACCAGCCATTTGTTTGTCCACTTCAGATTGCATTTGTTTAATTTTTTCGGCTTCCTCTTCCATTTCCTTAACTCGCGCCTTTATTGCTTCCAGTTCAGGATCGATTTGCATATTGGCTTCCTCCTTTTTACCAAACAAAAAAAAAAACAATTTTATTACAAAACACTGTATACATATAATTGTAATATTATGGGACTAAATGCATCAATATAATGTGAAACTGAACTGCACTCGTGCAAAACAGAAAATTCAAATGCCAGACTATTGGCTTTATATGTATATGTTGCTCTAGGTAGGCGTTAATTTGAGCTTTTGTTTTGCATTTTTGGGTTTCTTTCTGTTCAATCTTCTGCACTCCATGAAGCAGCTATTGTCGAATGTGCACATATTAAACCGGAATTTAAAGACATTTGTATACTACACAGCTTTTCATTATTTTGAAGGTACTCACCTCGTTTTCGTTCATTAGTTCTGCTTCGTGCTCGCCATTTGCCTCGTCAAGATTGTCCAGCAGTTGATCTTCGTTTAACGATAAGTCTTCGTCTGCCATTTTACTAATCGATATTTTAAAGCTGCCACCAAATAAACAACCACGCAGGAAAGTTCAGATACAGTTCTCTTTTAACTTTTATGGCTCTTCTCCAAGCGTAAACGGTCCACTCTTTTGTCTCCAATACTAACGTTTTGCGTCAAAACCTGTGACGTATGAAATTTATATTAGTTTCCTTTTCTGTCTTTAGGCCATTCATATGCTTGCATACAAATACAATGTAAAAGTATCTTATGCGCGCGCACAACTAAATTCGCTTTACTACACCCGCAGCCATTTTGGGCGAATTGTGCGAGCAAAAGCCAAGAAAAATTTTTGTGGGAAACCAAAAACAGAGCACTCATTGACAGCGTGACATTTTTGTTTTTCCATATTTACACGAAATGGACTTCAATACTTACCAAGTACAAATACTACGTCAATTGTGTTAAATTCACGTAATATAAATATTAAAAATTGTTATGGAATTCCCGCACAATATTGAGATTTTAGTTTTATTTTTAATTTCACGAAAGTGAAAACTATACTGATTTCTCTGCCACCGGTTGTATAAAAGAAACCTACGCAGCGAATTAAGTTGACGTATAAATTTGACAGATTTTGCGTCGTAATAGATTTCAATGAACATCCAAGGTTGTATTTCGTAAGATTGTGAAAAAATTACTTCTAGAAAATAGTACATTGTGAATGTTTATATTTCTAAATTTAACATTTCTATAAATCTTATGAATTATTGGTGATTATTACGAGGCAACAAACAAATATGGTAAAATAAATATACCAATTATACTTTTTCACATATTGTATATTTCAATACGTATGGCAACATCGAATGAATGAATGAAGGTGCCGAACCACAGCAGGCTATATAAAATGAACCTCCATTTACAGAAAGTCAGCTGTAGTCGAATATTTGTTTAATAAGGATTGTGACAAAAGTAGTAAAATAATAATTATATTAAATACTTTGTATATACGATGAATATTGACGAAGAATCTGACTACGAAGAAGATGAATTTTTAATTTTCGCTGATTTCAAAAATCAACTTGGCCCCCTTGATTTGGATGAAAATATAGCAGTGAAAATCATTGGACTTGAAAAGGACCCGGTCGCTGAAGTGAATGGAAACATATTTAAAGGTATTTAAACATATACACTTCAACATATACATAAGTTTTAAACACGAATATTAATAGGGTCCTATGATTACCCAATGGGCACGTGCGTTTTCTTTGAAAAGGATACGGACGCCGCGCCGTCAGATCCTCTATTCGAAACGAGCTGTCGGCAGAAATATAAATATTTTGCGAAAACCAATAAAGTTATAAATTTTGAACGTATATACGTTGAACCGAAATGCGATGAAACCATGAATAATCTATCTAATACTATAATATCACCACAAAAAAGTGAAGACAATGAAAAAGACCAACTTAATATACAGACTGAGGATGATAAACTTCGGATTAATATTTCATATGAAGATGCTATTAAACAATTTCAATCGAGTGATGAAAACAGTTAATGCATTTATGTACATTTTACAAATTATATATAAAAATAAATTAAAGTGTTTAACTTCCAATATCATTTCCATTTTCTTTCCAGTGAAACTTCTTTAAAATTGAATTCACAATGGAAGAAATACTAGGTCAGGAAATGCGCCCACCGCTGGTACTTCGAAAATTTTTAAACGAGTGGAAGACCTTGCTCGAATCAATGATAATACCAAAAACTGTGTGCGATATACAGAATGTTATGAATTTATCGGAAAATCAAAAACGTTTTAGCCACGTTGTTGCACAATGTTCATTAGAAAAATTAGAACAAGAAAACGACGTTAATATTATTAAATATGAGCCAGGTGTTACAAATCCTGCATGTATCCCAACAATTGTGGATGACACGAATTTAAAAACATACAAAGAACTTGTTAAAGGGAAAAACAATACCAATCAAAACCGCAATCCTTTTAAGCGTTCACGGGAAACATATGCCATGGTGACGCCTCCTTGTCAACAAAAAAATGAAAAATATGAATTAAGTGACTTTTACAATGATATAATTTTAAAGATACGCATTTACCGACCCGCACGTGTTGTACACACAGGTCAAAGTTTAGAAAAACCAGTATTTGCGGAGGAATTCGAGTGTCTGGGATCAAATTATCTTAGCGATTTGCGTGACAAAATTTCATGTGTCTGTAAAAAGAAGCGTTTTTTTGATGTTAGCGATAACCCAACAGCCGAATTACCAGTAAAAACTACAGATCCAGCTTATTTTTTTATAAATAACACTTTTTACAATGACCGACGAAATTCGGATAACCCAGATTATTCTGAAGTTATAAGAACATGGGCTAAGAAAGCTGTTGGTCTAAAGGATTTACATTTTGAATTGGCACAAATGGAAACCACGCGTTTCTTGGACTTAACCGTCAGCATAGGTTTTCCACAATTATATCAACATCACGGCAACTGTGAACATGTTTTTGTCATCTCCCAAATTGAAATCGTGACACCTAAGTCGCAGTGCTTGCAACGTCATATGTATCCTCGACTCTGTTCATTTGGATCTTTTAATAATCGTGTTTGTAACATGTGTGGTACACGACGTTATACCTTCATTGTAACAAAAAGTGATCGTCAACTACACGATCCAGCATATATATGTAACAAGTGCTTTTTTGATTACCATTATATAGATGGGAAGAAAATAGGTAATTTTCAAGCTTTCAAAGTGAATGAGGATAATCAGGAGGAAGAAGTAATGAAATATATCAAAAAATCCAGAGTTGAAGATGAATATAGCACAGATGAAAATGATGAAATGACTAATATGCAAACATCAATAAACAAAACAGTTTAAATAAATTCATATTGGATTAAATAAACTAATTATTAACGTTTAAGAATGTCCAAAAAGATACTTTACTTTTACTTTAACACGTAGTATTACATATGTTAATTAAATAAGTATGTATAATAATGAATTCGCATTATACTTATAAATGAATATATTAGAAAAAGTACTAATTTTTTACGAGTATTATAAATTAAAAAAATATATTTTTTTTTTATTGATAATTAGTATAGGCTTAAGTTTATGTTGTTTGGATGGAATTCGTGTAGATACGTATGTACATATGGTACGTTTGCTGTGGTGTCGTGTCAATGACAATTTCCCCAAAAAATTTTGAGGTGTGCTGCCAAATTGACAGTTTTAGGCCGGATAAAAATCCAAGTCCGATTAGGATACGTGGACTCGAATCTTACTTGTACGTTTGCTATCGTACTATTTATTAAAAGATAAAATAAATCAGAGAATCTACAATTGAAGCAAGTTTTTAATTTTAAATATAGTATGACCTATGTTACGTATAGTATCCTTTAACGGTATAGTTTCAATGTACAAATATTTAATTTGTTTCCTACTGTAAGGTCGAAATGCAACACTGTCTATTTATAGCCAGAGCTGACTTGCTCGAGTAACTACCATTGACAGTTGCAGAAGAGAGAAAGTCAAACAAAAACAGTAATTTCTCAAGAATTAATTCTTTGCAATTTCTTATCTGTTTCATTTTACACCTTTTCTTTTTGTATTAGTTGTAAAAAAAAACAGTTTAATAAAAGAGTCTTAAGACATTACTCATTTTCAATGACTGAATTGTTTGAGGAAAAGATGACATGATGTCATACTCGTACAAATAATCCGTATATCAAAAAGGATATAGACAACATGATAATGTGTGTGAAATAGGTGAGTCCTTTATAATACATATTATATTGTTGTTTTAAATGTTGGATTATTTTATATTGATTGTGTATAAAATATCACCAGGAATTTACAGTCATAATGAACGAGCGCATTTGCATAAACAATGCTAATTGTGAACAGCCGCCAAATGTAAGCGGTGAAAATGTTCTTGATACTAGTCCTAACGCATCCAATGCTACAACTCCCACATCGACACTGAAGGAGAAGCGCAACTGGTTCCAATCGCTAACAAGGCGAAAAAAATCTCAATCCCAGGTGTCGTTGGCTGACATACCATCAACATCTAGACAAGCACCACAGATACAAAATAACAACAATGAGCCTGTGCAAGTGACATGTACACGAAACACTACAGTAGTCAAGGATGCAAATATCACTAATGATGCTAATGCTTCTGGGCGGAAGCGCAAAGATGGAAAGAATGTCTTTCAAAGGCTACGTAAGAGAATGGGCTTAAGATTTTCTTCTTTGCGAAATCGAAATGACGAAACTGATAATTCTGACTTTGGAGTAGCCTGTGCTTCGGGTACAATAAATGCTGCCGATGAATTCTCAACTCACTCACCTATACATGAACCACGGCAATGTGTACAAAACATAGTAGTTGAAGAGGAAGAAATTATACCATTTACTATTAGTTATAAACGATTTCTAGCGAAAAAATGGTTAGAAAATGAAGAAAGGCCAAACCGAGTAATGTATACTGCAAGTTCACAAATGTTAAGGTAAGATGAAAAGATGACTATTCAATGTATTATTTTTATTTTTTCAAAATTATAATCTGAAATATTTTTTAATTTTGTTACGCCAGTCAAGTTTGGTACTGGGGCGAAATATCGCGATTAGACGCACAAAAACAACTGAGTGACAAACCCACCGGTTCATTTCTGGTACGCGACTCGGAAACACGTGGCTGTCAATTTACGCTTAGCTTTCGTATGGTGAACGTGACGTTTCATTATCGTTTAGAATACCATGATGACTATTGGCACTTTGAAGAATTACAATATGAGTCCATAGTAGATATGATAAAGGATATACTTGATCGTTGTACCAATGACAATTTTGTATGCTTCGTAAAAGTTCCAAATGAGTTGCAACCACCTTGTCCGGTCATACTGAAGTATCCACTAAGTCGATATTTCCAAATGCCACAATTACAGGACTTGTGTCGACGCGTTATACAACAACATGCTGCAGTAGAAGAAATCGCAAAGCTGCCGATTCCACCAAAACTTCATGATTATTTAGGTGTTAGACGAGAATTAGTATTTCACAGTTAATCAAAAACTCATTATTTTATAAGAAGAAAATATAGGCTAGCAATCTTTGTTGAACATGCTAATTTTACTACCCTAATTTAGCAGTTTTATTATATATTTACGTTATTTTAAGAACTGTTAACTAATCATTTAATTCAGACGTATTAGTAATATTAAAGATATGTAAAAGCCAAAGTAAGGATATACATACACAACAAAAATTAATTGTATGTTAGATAAATTCAACAAATCAAATATGTTCGCTATTAGATTTATAGAAACATGCACACAAATAATGTGCCAATGTATATATATTCCAATCGATTCCCATTTAGTATAGCTCAATTTGAAATGTAAAGTAATCATGAACTAATTTATGAGTTTACTAAATTAAAATCCAAGTCCAAAGATATACTTTTGTTACTGTTGAAAGATAAAAAAAATAGTAATGTATAATGAAAAAATATATATTGAATATGCATTTAAACAGTGAAACTGTAAAGTTATATGGTCACAAAATTCATCACTTTATTTTAAGATATGCGCATATATGTAGCTTAAATACAAAGCGCTGTCATTAAGCTTTATCTCATATTGCTATTATTTATTATCTTAAGTCGGATAATAACAATTAGTTGTAAGTTGAACCCCTAATCACAAATTGCATAAAAACCTACTGACTTTGGAGGGAACCAAACGCAATATATTGCAAACGACACGCACAAATTGTATTTATCTATTAAATAACAAATTCAATTCTAGATTAACCATAAACCTATGCCTAAGAATATATACGACCTGTGTTCAAAAATAAGATCGATTTTAATTTTTATAAACAAATTTGAGTATTTGAAAGAAATAAAAATTCACAGAGCTAAATTTATTGATATCAGTGGCTGAAACATGATTCCGGGCTAATTTTTGGCCCTAAAATCATTCACAACAGCAATCTTATATTAAAAAATACAGAATTAATTAATTTATGTGGCATCTAATTTCTTTAAAATTATTAAATATTTAAATCTCAATGCATATGTAGTTTATATATTCGTGAAAAACAGATAAAGCGAGCGTTTCAATCAGCCGGAGTGCGCCAATTATAAATCATATCTAATAATGTATTTGTTGAGTGAACTGGAAGTAACCCTTTTATATTAACACAAAAATTAATTAATCTACGTTTTTGTGACTAATAAAAACTTTTCAGATTATAATCGATTCCGGTTTAAGTAAAAACGATTCGAAAGTGATTAGCAACCAATTTTCATAATAGCTCTATTGTGAATGAATGCATTGAAAACGAAAAGGCGAAGACGGCCGCGTATTTTGTGATCATATGTCGATATTGTCGTTTGTTATTTGTTTATGAATGTTAAAAATGAAAAAGTTTCCAGTTAAAATTGATCTTTCAACATTTTTCGAGGACGAAAGAAAATATGTTATAATTCTTGTGGATCCACAATGGAAAAACGTGGAGTATTTACAACGTCGAGTGGAAGAAATATTTGATGTGCGGCCGGTCCGGTTTTTGACTATAGATAATCTATTTATACCTCCACAAGAATCTATAGAAGTTGTAGAATTTACGGAATCTCTTAAGTATGGAAATTTTCTTCTCTAGTTTGCATTAATATAAATTTAAATTTACAGAGCTTTTATACCAAAACGAGCACTGGAGGAATCTCGCCGACGCTCAAAGCAATTGAAACGTGAAACTCAAGCAATTCTTAATAATGTAGAAGAATCGATTGAAAAGAATTTAGTTAAAAAGAGGAAGTACTATACATTGGGTATGGATATTCAAGGAAGCTCTACTCCCAACCATACGAAAAAATCGAAACATATACCAAAAATTGTAAATCAGTCACCAGTAGATATAATAAGACAAGTTTCCAATGAATCACAAGAAATCACAAGTACTAATGAACAATTAAGCATATTGAAAGTCCAACTCAACAAAAGCGTCGAACAAAACTCCATATGCGATGGTGCAAAATCCTTACCGATTTTGGTGGAAAAACAAAGTGTAACAACGAATGAAACAAAGGAGAATTCCACTAGTAAACGTAAACGTAAAAGGGCTCATAAACAAAGCTCCGTTCTGTCCATGGATTTCGAGGAAGAAAAAACTGAGTGTACATGTATAAAAAATATAGCTGAATTTAATTACTTTAGTTTAAAGTAATAATTTGTTTTGTTTTTACAGTGACGTTGCGGCCGGAAGTACCTTCGTCTACATTCCTTAACAATTCTAAATCATCGCATATATACTTTGAAGACTCGACTATCATGGAATGTAAAAGCAAGAATCAACAAAAAAAAAGTATTAATAAGTCAACTACTGATGGGAAAGCAAATACAACCAAAGTATCATTTAAATGTAAACGAAGTGATGCAGAATTTGAGAAACCAGTGGTCTTTCCCTTAAAATATATCAACAAAAATAATAAACCTCTTAAATCAATCATAGATATACAAGAAAATATACTTCTACAGCCAGCCAATGCCGATATACTTTTTAAAGCGCCGCTTATGAATGATGCAGAAAATCAGTTGAAAGAAAATGTTTTGTCAACTACTTTTAATACAACAGAAAGCAAGGAAAATGAAACAATTGATGAAATCACGAATATTACAGAAACAGCTGATAATTTTGAACCCCAAACTAATGCCAGCATTATCACAAATGGTTTGGACCACATCGATTGCAAGTTGGTTAGAGACTCTGGTACAGAAAAAGAAATACAAAATAACAATACAGAAAAAGATATACAAAATAACATTTTAAAAGAAAATTCCAATTGTGAGGGTAGAATCAATGATGAGAAGGATACTATTACGGACGATGACTCAAATGGCAAAGACAAGAATGTTACAAGGCAATCACACGATGAGCTTTACAAGAATGAAAATAATTTAAGTAAGGAGGTACAAGAAGATACAATGTCCTCCATTGACAAAATAAAACAAACAAATATGACAAACTCCAAATCTACCAATATATTGGAAATGTCCGAATATTCACAGCTAATGGRCGAAAGCTCTGTCATTGACTTGGATGACGATGATGAAGTCGTAATTGATTTGAGTGATGCTGATGACCAACAAAAATCGCTGGCAACAAGTCGTGGTAAGTTGTCTGAAACTTTAAATAAAAGTATAAGCACAATGAGTATCGATGAAATGCTTCCCTTTTGTGTGCCACTGACCGGTATTCCTGAATTGGGTGATGTTATCATATTTAAGGTAAATTTCTTAGATTAATATCATATATATATACATAAGAAATTATAATTTTCCTACAGTTTAATCGTCATGTTTCTGGTGCTAAAATAGATGAATCACAATTCATAGCCTGTAGATGCGAACACATTAATAGACGCACTAAAGCTTTAAAGCTCGCTGTGATAAGTAAGTAACTAATGTTTACTAAGTTCCCATTTACTACTTCAAGTATATACTTTCAGATGCTAGTCTAGAAAACGATGTCCTTCCTCAAAAGTATAAGTATAGTTTAGATGATACTTTTGAAATACGATTTATGAATATTAAGTTTACGGAAATGATAGATCCTAAGGTATTGAAACTAAGCAGTTAGATTTAAAAAAAATATATTATGTTGTAATAAATTTAAATGTTTTGATTTTTCCTTTAATAAATGTATTATAAATAATCATTAATACTAAGAACGTCTCATTGCTAACATAGTATTGATTTCCCAAATAATTATACGAGTGCGATCAATTACTTCCCGTAATTGTCGATTTTTTAATCTAACTGTCTCAATAAGTTCCTGGTTCTCTTGCAACGCTTTTCGGTATTCATCACATTGTGAAGGTTCGTTACGGTGGTCGGGTTGTTCCTCTTTGTAAGTTATCAAGCTCTCGACGTTTGTATAATCCATGCCATGTGGATAACCATCATTACACTTTTCGTATATTATACGTACGCGCTTAAATAATAGCCGTATAGTTCGAAAATATTCCTGCACCTTTTTTTCTGTGCTGTTATCTCGATTTCCTGTTGGCTGAATTACTTTAAGCGCAGTAAATATCTCTTGAAAACGTGAAGTAATGTCTTGGACAGTTTCTTGACCCAAGCGAGATAGGGACACAATATTTATTTCTTTATGTGGATTTGGTTGTGATATTGCCAACATATTACTCCCTGTTGTAGACGTCGTTTGTGACGCAGGTTGTTGTGTATGCATCATTCCTGCTGTATTGCCATGTGCCATCTGTCCTTGTTGTTGTTGCTGTTGCTGCTGTTGCACATTCATTGATATATTTGTAGGCATGTGCTGTTGTTGAGGATGTTGCATTATATTTCCTGCAGCGCCAACACCGATTCCCTGAACACCGCTTCCGACACCCATCATACCGACGCCTACCGGACCACTACCTCCACCACCACCTTGAACCATTTGCACATGCTGTTGCATTTGTTGCTGTTGTTGTTGCTGCTGCTGCATTTGCATTGGCGTATTCATAAGATTTCCCGGTCCACTCATGCTCATACCACTTTGCAACTGTTGTTGTTGTTGTTGAGGATGATATCCTCCCATTGGCATCATACCGCCGCTACCAACACCTATTTGTGCTCCAGCTCCACCACCAACCATTGCATTTTGCCCCATTCCACCGGCGCTCATTTGGTTCATTGTATTTATCATTTGAGGAGATTGTTGTTGCTGCTGAGGGTTAAACTGACCACGGTGACCCCCAAGTGGGCTATTGTAACCACTTGGATATTGTCCTGACATTTTTAAGATTGATACAGTACCTGAAAAATAGAAGTATCGCAGAGTTCGCTCTGTAAACAAAAATATTTAATTAACTGTCATGGATGACAATATAATGTGAAAAATGTCGATTTTCATTTTAGAATATTTTTAATCGATAACATTTTTGTTTTTATTTAATTCGATTCATAAACGCCATGGCCACATATACCACCCTGCAGCTAACAATCGGTTAAGTCACTGAATTATCGAAGCTAACCGAATGCTTTAGTTTGTGAACTAATAATTTCAATGTTTTGGAGTTTATTTTTAGTTTTTAAGAGTCTTTCCCTTTCCAAGCACGTAAACAAGCTTTAAGAACTAAAATATAATTAATACTAATTTATCAGATTCTTAAGGTAATAATTATGAGTTATTAGCAATAATTTAAAATTTATGATAGTAAATTTATTTTGAAATTAAATTCAAGTCGTGACACAAGTTCAGAAGTATGTACATGTATTGGAATCTATCAGCTTTGCCAGCGGATATTAACCTTAATTTCCACAAACAAACTGTGGCATCACTTTCAAATTATTACACAGCTGATATTGATATTGTGAAAAAATACAAAAGTAGCTGCGATTTTTAACTGCATCGCAGATGCAAATAAATAAAATTGTATAATTTAACAATTTCCTCCAACTATGAATCAGCTACCAGATGACCATTTTCGTTATATTTATAGTTCTTCATTACACGAACAAGTGCAAATAAAAGTGTAAGTAGGCATATCATTTCAACACTTTCAATTGTGAAGGGCGGATACAATAACAATTTCATTGTATTACAGTGGTACATTAGAAGGTAAAAAGCGTCAGCCAGATTTTGAAAAACTCTTAGAGGATCCCATTTTACGCTTTTCTGGCCTCTATTCGGAGGAATGTCCGGCCTTTCAAATCCGTTTACAAGTTTTCAACAAAAATCGGCCATACTGCCTGCCTGTAACCACCTCTTACAAAGCTTTCACTAAGCGTTGGAGCTGGAATGAATGGGTGACACTGCCATTACAATTTTCCGACTTACCACGAACAGCTATGTTAGTGCTAACAATCCTCGACTGTGCAGGTGCTGGTAAAACCACAGTAATAGGCGGTACAGCAATTTCTTTGTTCGGCAAGAATGGTTTATTCCGCCAAGGTATGTTCGATTTACGAGTTTGGTTGGGTGTAGATGGTGATGGCAGTTATCCAACGAAAACGCCTGGCAAGGGGAAAGAGTCGTCAAAATCACAAATGCAACGTTTAGGTAAACTGGCAAAGAAACATCGTAATGGGCAGATGCATAAGGTCGATTGGTTAGATCGATTGACATTCCGTGAGATAGAAGTAATTAATGAGCGAGAAAAACGCATGTCAGATTACATGTATCTAATGATAGAGTTCCCTACAGCCGTGTTTCAAGAATACTATAATGTAAGTCCGTAGTTACATGCTTCATCCTTAATATATTCACACTTTCACTATTTTCTTACTAGTATTCCATTGTGTACTTCGAACCAGAAGGAGATAAAAGCCATAAAATACTGACAAAACCCAAATTGGTAACTGTGCCGGATTCAGATATATTGCAGGTATGTTGCATCTTTCTTTTGATCTGACGTAATGTTTTATAAACAACCCTTAAGCTTAAGCCTATACTGCGCTCTTCGAAAAACGTAAATAATTTCTTCAATGTCATTAAAATGCTTATTATGCTCTAAAGTGTAATCGCTAAAGCTCTTTTAGCCTAAAACAGTAGCTAATTTGCGGCGGTGCTTTGATGTAAAATTGTGGTTTTAATGCATACAAACAATCGCACAGTCAATACAATCTCACACATTTTTCTTAAATATTTATTTTGCCCCTCACAAGGCTAGTGGAATCGATTTTCTTCATTTCACAAATTATTTATGCTAACTTGAATAAGCGCACGCAATCGTTGTAATATCTCGCCAAACAGTTTGGTTTCGCTTTTCTCATGTGAATTGCAACGAACAGCCTTTCTTACGCGAGTTACACTTGATTTAAGTATTAAGTATTTATTATTGAGAATTGGAGGAAATTGTCAATTAGCCGGGAAACTGTTACTTTTAAAGATTAAAATTTTGAAATTTAAATTAAAATTTAACCCGCCATGTAGTATTCTCAAACTTTTTGCTTATCTACGCTGGCGGCTTCCAAAATTTCTCCTGCATTTTCAAACTAAATTAATATTTATTAAATGGTATTTGAAATTTAAAGCATGGTTTTGCGCTTGCTGGGTAATTGAATGCAATCAAACTAAATTAATACGCTTATTTAAATACACTTTTTGCTTAACTTTCAAGGAGAATCTAGTCGAGCGTAAACACCATCGTCTGGCACGTTCTGAACGTTCTCGAATTTCCGATCGCGATGTAAAGCCAACCGCTGTTATTCGCAATCAATTGCATACCATTGTGTACCGTTATCCACCAACATGCGTTCTCAGCAGTGAAGAGCAGGATCTTTTATGGAAGTTCCGATTTTATTTATGTTCACATCGTAAAGCGTTAACGAAATTTCTCAAATGCATCAATTGGGGGACACAACGCGAAGTTATGCAAGCACTCTCGTTAATGGCCAAATGGGAACCGATGGATGTGGAGGATGCCTTAGAGTTACTTAGTCCAGTCTTTACACATCCCGAAGTGCGACGTTATGCCATCAGTCGTTTGGGTCAAGCGCCTGATGAAGATTTGCTGCTATATCTGTTGCAACTTGTGCAAGCTTTGAAATATGAAAATTTCAACGACATCGTCGACTTACATAAGCAACTTTTTCCCGATCATGATGTTGTACGTTCATTAGATGGCACCTCTACCATCTTAGACCCAAGTTCGATTTGCTCCGATTCACTTAGTGCTGGCTCGTCAGTGATTGCGGCAAGTAGTGTTGGTTCACAGCGCGGCATTGTGGCGTCTGTTCTTCAGCGCAATGTACAAACAGACATATCGACAGCGCGCACATCAACGTCTGTAGCGCCAATTACGACAACAAGCACAAAAGCAGCAGCAGCATCCGACACACCACCAATTTCCATTTCGACAACTTCGTCAGCTATAGCTGCGGCGGTTGGCAATGGCGGTGGTGGTGGTGCTGGTGATGGCGATAACAATTATATAAATACTACTTCTGTAGTTTCTGGTAGTTCTGTTGCCACTAATACTCTATCTGGTGAGAGTAGCTCAATTGGTCCACTGAGAAATGATCCCGGAGATCTCTGTACATTCCTGATACAACGTGCTTGCAAAAATCCTACACTCGCCAATTACCTTTACTGGTATTTGTCCATAGAGGTGGAGGACCATGAGTCCTTACGTAAGCAGGATGAGCGAGTACATGATATGTATGTGATGGTGTTGCGTATTTTCCTTAAGGTCCTAGAAACCGGTAAGTAAAATAGCATGCACATTGGTTTCCAAATTTAGTGAGGCTTCTTATAAGAACCGTAAATTTAGAGAATAAATTAAGAGGATTTATTTTTCCACAAAATATTTTATAATTCATATTCAACAGGCAACTTTCATTTGCGAAATATTCGTCATAATTTGAAGAAACAACAGATTTTAGTGGATGAGTTGGTTAAGTTGGTGAAGATGGTGGCCAAGGAGCCGGGAAACCGCAATAAAAAGACGGAAAAGTTCCAGAAGCTTTTAACCGAAATGGATACGTTTAAAATCAATTTTACCGGCTTCGATCCGCGCCCCTTTCCTTTGGACCCAGAGATTTATATAACGAAAATCGTTCCCTCGAAAACTTCACTTTTCAAAAGTGCATTAATGCCCGCCAAGTAAGCAATCGCACTATAAATATTGTTTTATCCAATAATTTACGACCATTTCACTTTACGTAGACTTACTTTCGTCACTACTATCGGTAAACACGAATATGTAGCGATTTTTAAGCATGGTGATGACTTACGTCAAGACCAACTTATACTTCAGATGATAACCCTAATGGATAAATTGTTGCGGCGTGAAAATCTTGATCTAAAACTAACCCCCTACAAGGTGCTGGCCACCAGCTCGAAGCATGGTCTCTTACAGTATATTGATTCGTTTACTGTAGCTGATGTTTTGGCGCGTGAAGGCAGCATACATAACTTTTTCCGCAAGCATAATCCCTGTGAAAATGGACCCTATGGCATTGCGGCAGAAACTATGGATACATATATAAAAAGCTGTGCCGGCTACTGTGTGATAACATATCTTTTAGGTAATGCATTTTGTGTATATGTATACATAAAATATTCCAACAATATGTTATTTTATGCTTAGGTGTTGGCGATCGTCACTTGGATAACTTACTGCTCACAACCAATGGCAAGTTGTTTCACATCGATTTCGGCTATATACTGGGACGTGATCCGAAACCGATGCCACCGCCTATGAAACTAAGCAAAGAAATGGTCGAGGCCATGGGCGGCGTTAGCTCCGATCATCATCATGAATTTCGTAAACAATGTTATACGGCATATTTGCATTTGCGACGACACGCCAATGTTATGCTTAATCTATTTTCACTGATGGTGGACGCCTCAGTGCCCGATATAGCGCTCGAACCGGATAAAGCTGTGAAAAAGGTCGAAGAAAATTTGCAGTTAGGCCTAACAGATGAGGAGGCGGTGCAGCATTTACAAGCGCTACTCGATGTCTCGATTACAGCCGTAATGCCAGCACTAGTCGAACACATTCATAAATTAGCTCAGTATTGGCGAAAGTAAATGCGTAATAATAATAATAATTCATTGTTATATATATAAAAGCTCTTTATTTGCCAACCTCATCATTTGCATGCATGTTTTTTAAGAGTAAATTTATTAAGTTCTAGAACAGACATGTTGAAAGTATCATAAGCAAATGTTATCAAAGAATTTTATGTATGATTTTTAGTGTATGGCATGCCTATACATGCTTATGTATATCTTAGCGAGTAAAATGTTTTATTTAGACAAATTTATAAACACCCAACTTCATTAATCACATACATTTATGAATATGTAATAACAAAACAAAAAATAGATTTACTGACTACTATAACAATATAAACATAGTTTACTATTTTTATAATAAAAAAAAAGAAAAACGTTAACTTCGGTTGCGCCGCAACTATAATATCCTACACGAGAACTTGATTTTGATTGTGCACTTTGTATGGCAGCTATAAGCTAAAGTTGTCCGTTCGAAACAATTTGCTCGGATATACTAGTACTTACTTGGAGTTTAGTCTATGCCAAATTTAATCCAGATATCTTCCCAAACAAAAACTTAATTTTGATCGCTCAGTTTGTATGGCAGCTATATGCTATATTAGTCCGAGTCCGTACAAATTCTTGTAAAATTGTGCCGCTCCTTTGGACAATAATCCATGCCAAATTTCGTGAAGATATCTTGCCAAATAAAAAAGTTTTCAATACAAAAACGTTTACCTATTCAGGGTCTAAAAAGATCGACAATGGCGCGCTGTTGCTGTAATTCTAAGTTCTTCTCACTTACCATTCTCGCTGCTATTTTCACATTTTTTAAATTTATCAGTAAAACACAGCTTAATTTAAATTGAAAAGTCTTTATTCACTTTCGTTTTTTCGTGTACTGGGCCGCATTAGAAGATATCTAGCAATATAAAGTCTTAAGTAAATAATTTTGAAAGTATGTATTAAAAACAAGACTATGCCGCCAAACCATTTTTGAAATGGTGCATTTTTGACGTATATGTATTTGAAACGTTCGCTTTCTGTAATTAAGACCTACACACATATGTACGTATATACGCATTTTGTATGAAATTAAACAAACACCGAAACATCAATAATATTGTATTTATATACATATATGCTTGCATACATACATATGTACGAGTACAGTTTGCTTTTCCTAATACGGCATTATATCGAAAGCTAAAAACGAAATTTTAAGTATTCCGTGAAATCATCATGGGCTCTTTGTTGTGTCTCTACAGGCATATATTAGAAACATTGCAAATTCTCCTAATTATTACTTATAACTACTTAATAATTCACGACTGTCTTATCTATTTGAAAATGACCACTAACACACTATCAGTGTTGGCATTTGTTAGATATTCCACAAAAGACCACAATTTAACTAAGGGTTTTCTACAGATAATGATGTTGGTGAGTGAAGTAGCGAATGCTAGAGCATCTGTGAAAGAGGTATTATTAATTATCGAAACTTATCTGCCGCTTCACTTTGGTTGAGCCTGGATGTAACACACTGGTTTCCGCGGACAACATGCTCTTCGTTTGCAATTGCGATTTCCCCATGGAAGCTGAACACAACACTGCTGTGTTTGTTATGCTATTATTATTGCTTGCTATCAGCTGGTTGCTGTGGCTATTGTGGTAGTAATGACTGTTAGCATTGGCATATGGACTGACATTGCGTTGATCTTTGCCAGTGAAATTCTTTTGTGTAGAACGACGTTGTTGTTCGATTTCGAAATTGACATTTTCACGCAAGGCTAAGCCACACATATTATTCTTGGAAGAACTATTTTGTAGCGAGGCATTCGGTTGTACGGACAGTTTTTTAAGTGATGACGGTTTTGAGTTGCTATCGAAAACTTGTGATTGCGACTGCGAGCTATAAGTTGTTTGTGTTGTTGTATTGGAGGCGGGTATTGTCTCGTAACCACTCGTCATGCAGAAGGAGTCCATTGATTTGTCGCACAAAAATATGTTCGAAATTGAGCCTGTGATCGTGATGCTTTGACTAAATGAGCTATTTTGCTCGTCATGTTGCTGTTGTTGTTTTTGTGCGTCTTTACGACGACGATACTCCTCTGGTCCAATATAACCGCTAAGACGAATGTTGGCTTCGCTTCTCTCGCGTGCAATTTTCGCTTTCGCATTTAGGTAAATATCGTCTGCATTGCGTCCGCCTATCACATTGTGCACATACCGTTTGGCCAGACTGCAAATAATTTATATGAATTTGAAAATATTTTTCTGCAAAATATATGCTATCCATTTGCACACACAAGAGTTGTAAATTTTTTAATTAAAAAAATTTTAATTAAAA